CAAAAAATGCCAAGGCCGATTTTTTTTGTCCCAGTCCAGCCCTGCATACGGCACTCTCAGAATTCCCGTCTCTTCCTCAGTCGTCATTTACTTTGCATGTGTTAACCCAACTCTCCCACCTCTCCAATCTAACAATGCAATCTACCCCAGAAAAAGATTTACTCTTGAGCTCCGGGTCTTTTGAGATGCTAATTTAAGATGTGCCTGTGTAGATATCAGTTACCTCTTTGATTTATTCTCTGCCTGGTCTCTGAATACATAGTGTAACTCCTCTTTTTGAGGCAAGCATCACTATTGCTTTTTCTCATGCTTAGTTTTAAACCTCTAACTTTGCATGTCATTTGTCCTGCGCCATACTTGTTATAGACATTTCCTTGAATTGTGTAGCTTATTAAAGAGGGGCGATGTATTATTTTATATTTAATTTAATTTATTTTCATTTAATTATGTATTTTTAATCATTTTATTTATTTGTATTTATTCATTTTTATTATTATTTATTTATTTGATTTTTGGGGGGGAGGGTTCCCCCTGGGCTATAGAGGTGTGAACCTTTAGGTTGACAGCAAATTGACAAGTTTTATTTTGATTCAAAAGTGATTTTTGTGAAGTCCACAAATTTGACTAGATTAATAGTGATTAAGTGTATCTTAGGCAAGAAAAGAAGTGCTTTCTCAGTTTTGGGTTTTCCCAGTGCAGTGTTGAAGAAACTTTTACTTCATCATTGTTATTTCTGCATTGCCTCAGCAAAGCACTGAACATTTCTCTTATTGATACTCCTCATTACCTCTGGTTTAAACACATAAAACAAGCCCATTCTTATGAACTCAGCAGCACAAATACTCAAACTCAAGGAGATCAAAACACTCGTAGGTCATTGAACTATTAGCTATTGTTTGTGTAATGTGCTTTATAACTGCACTCTTGACCCTGTGCTGTAGTCCAGTAGTCTTACAGTTCCAATAGAAATGGTTTGAAAGCTTGTGGAAAGAAAAGGGTCAGTAGTCTATTGTTCTTTTTGTTTGGAAATACTTCCTGCTCAAGTTCCTTCACTTCTGCTTCCAAAAAATAAATACAATGTCATCTGAATAACCCTAACAGATAATAAAACAAGTTATAATGCATATTTCTTTCCCTTGCACTAATGTTCCTGTTTCTCTCCTCCTCCCTCGTTCCAGGAGCAGTTGCCTGACCTGTGGTCTCACTTCCAGGACCTGAACCTGGAGGCCCATATGTATGCGTCCCAGTGGTTCTTAACACTGTTTACCGCCAAGTTCCCTCTCTGCATGGTCTTCCATATCACCGACCTGCTCCTGTGCGAGGTGATACATCTTCCTCCAGTCACAAAATTACAGTAACCAAAAGTAATTTAACCAATGAGAAGTCACTGTGGGTGTGGCTAACTAACTCAACATAATTAGAAACCGAGTTTAGAGACATAGGTGCTATAGTTTAATGTAATACTTTACAATAGGTTTCAATTCATGAACATGAGTTAGCATTTAGTGATTGTTCCCGTTAATTATATAAATATAAATATACTTTGCATCCTTCATTTGTTCATAATACATTAATATTAGTCTATGCAACTTGAAATGTTAATAATTTAATATTATATGTACAAATTTACATAAACCTAAATTAATGAATGCTGTTGAAGTACTGGTTTTTCTTAGTTCATGATATTTAATCCTAGTTAATAAAAAGTGATGCAAAATTATCTAGTTACCCTGAAGTTTAGGCTAAATGATTTCATTGGCTAGGAGTTGCTCTTTGTGAGTGCAGTTTCTTCAAATGGATTAATATTGTTTTTTTTATCCTTGTTCTAATTATGAATGACTGCGAAAGTTATGAAAATTAATAAACCCCATAAAATGTTGTGGAAATGCTCAGATTTAAAATACTGGCTTCTTTGTGAGTGATTATTATTATGATTACTCACAATTATTATATTATTTAATTTAATAACAGCTTGAAATGTTAAAAATGTAATCATATGTAGAAATTTACGTTAACCTAGAATAATAAATTATGTAAACGTATTCCACTTTGTTAGTTTATGATACCTAATGCTAAACTTTGATTAATAACATATTACAAAAAGTAATAGAGATTTGTGTAGTTATGCTCAAGTTTATTTCATCGGCTAGAAATTGGTCTTTGTGAGTGTAATCTCTACAGGGGAAAAAAAATTTAAGTATTACAATTTGTAAGTTCATGATAAATTATGCTCACCCTAGAGATAAACTTAAGAGATTTAATAACTTTTTTATTTCTATTTTTTTATTTCTTTTCTGGCTAAATAAATATTGAAGTTTGGTTTTCAGTAGCACATGAAACTGACGGAAAGTTCAGTTGTTTCTAAACTTCTTGAACTTGTTAGATTTCCCAAAGCAAGCATCTTTGACTTCTCAGAAATAGGCTTTGTGTCTTTCCAAAAGAAACGCTTCGACCTTTTTGCTCCTCAGAGAGCTTTTCCTTTTATTTTTTTCCCATCACTTTTCTCCCCTTTTCCTTTCATTCAGCGTCTGTGGTAGCCCGAGGCAAGACAATTAAAAGTTTCCTCAGCCTGTCTCAGTCAATGAATCGCATGATGAGAATCTGTTAGATACTTGTGAGACACCTCTCTCTCTCTCTCTCTCTCTCTCTCTCTCTCTCTCTCTCTCTCTCTAGTTCATCTCTAATACATTTAGTGTTCTGCCTTTTTTTGAGGCTCTGGCTCTACTGTTAAGTATCGTAGTCTTTCTTAATTATGCATCTCTCCCTATTCATATTTACATTTCAATTTATTTGTATTCAGTTTTTTTTTCTTCTTTAATATACACTGTTCTAAAGAAGCTGTAAAATCATCACATCTAAAGATGTTGGGCACAAAACCAGAAAGCGTTTTCTCGCTTTGGCAAGCTCTAATCTGATTGGCTACCTTAAACAACTTCCAGGACTAAGGGCATGCAGGATTTGTTATCAGTCCATCGTGAAACAGTCGGGTTCACAAGGGACAATGTTGTTATAGTGAGCGCTTTTGAGGATTAAATAATAAATGGGCTTGCAAAATTTCAAACAGTTACTAGCATAAAATCTTTGAAGCTAATTAGAATTTTTTAACTAATAAACTAGATATCTGTTAGTAGTTTTACTACTGTTTATTATATTATATTATTGTGTATTATAATACATATAAAATACATATTTACATATAATATAATGTAAAATAATATAGTTTTAACATATTAAAACATAATGATGTGTATGAACATAAATTAATTTAAGGATAACAATGGCAACTCTGTGTTAAGCAAAGTTTTTTATTATAGTTTTAATAAAAACTATAGTTTTAAACTTTATCCAAATGTTCCCTCAAGAAACATCTAAAAATAACACATCTTGGTACTCTACTTATAGAAAAAATAAAAGTAATATTAAAAGTACAAAAATGAAAATATAAATAAAAATACAAGTTATATGTGTCTGTCTATATATATATATATATATGTTCTGTCAAAGTCAAAAAGTGGCTTATTACAAGTTCTTGGATATAATGCTCTTCTCCATCATTTGATGAATAGCACTAGAAAATTAGAACAAAATATAAACAAACAAACGTTATTTTAAATAACATGAGCCTAATTTCTATTGAAAGGAGGTGTATTTGAAAGGAAAGTTTTAACAGATGTTTATGTTATCAAAGATGTCTATTTAAAATAAAACTGTTTTATCCTATTCTTTAAATAATCCTAAAAAAAAATATCACCATTTCCACAAAAAATATTATAACTGTTATAATAAAATATATATATAAATATATATAAAATATAATAACTGTTTTCAGCATTGATTATAATAATGAGAAATGTTTCTTGAGCAGCAAATAAGCATATTAGAATAATTTCTAAAGCATCACGTGTTACTGAAGACTGGAGTAAAGATGCTGAAAATTCAGCTTTGCATCCCAGGAATAAATTACATTTCAAAATATATTCAAATAGAAACTAGTTATTTTAAATTGTGATAATTTCCCAATATTACTGTTTTTACAGTATTTTTTGATCAAACAAAAGAGACTTCTTTCAAAACATAAAAAAATCGTACCAACCCCAAACTATTCTCAATAGTTAATGCAATTACTGCAATTTTTTAACTTTCTATGGTAATTCTTCAAGCTATTGAAGAATGAATTGCTCAGGTTGTTGTACATTTCTTTGCTTGATGTAAATGTAAATACTAATAGTTTTGCTAGTATAAATTCTAACAAGCAATCGTAGTATTCCTATTTCTTGCATAACCAAAGCGTTCAGATCCCAAGCCAAAGAGTAAAGTCTTATCCCTCCCTCAAC